CTAAAGTACTTAACCGTTTACTTCTGGCAAAAGAGTCTAATTAAGATGTACACCCCCCCTAAAGTCCTTTTACAAGAAACTATTAAATTTGTCGTCATCTTCTTGACTTCCTTCTTACTCCATCAACAAGGGTTGACAGAATACATCTATTACGTACTACTCATTTTTTACACACTCTTGTTTATGGACGATAATTACTGGCACGAACTCCCAAATTTCTTCTCAAGAGCTAAACTCGACTAATTCGCAATTTTTTTCCTTTTCACTTCTTTAATCCTATGTCCACTTGTTTATAATTTTGTATAGTAAATGTATAACTTTTTGCTAATTACCCATATTCTTTTTTGTAAGATATACAATAAATTATAGTATAACAATTAACTATACTTCTACTAAAATAAATATATTATGATATTGAATTAAAAATACTATTCATAAACGATTAACAAAATAATATTGATCTATTTGTTCATTTAATTTTTTTTAATTTTAATTTTTTTGTAACACTATTAACACTTTAAATAACAGTAAAGGGGTGGAAAAAAAGCGCTGCAAGAAAAAAAGCGATGTAGTCAAATTTATAGTTTTTTATTAATTGTTTTATAATTTGTTGTATAGATATGTTTTCCAATATTCCGCGATATGATTCAAAAAATCGAGGTTTACAAAAAAATCTTATTTTATGAAATTGCCCAAGTTGTGAAAGTCAATGTGTAAATTGTTTTTTATTGCTGAAGAAAGTTGAGTTTGCTGAGATAAAACACGAAGAGTTTCAATTTGTTTCTTCGAAAGTCTTCATTGAGGACAATTGATTGTCAAAAATCCCAGAAAAAGTTCGAATTTTATGCTTATTTTTTTATTATTTTTTCAACAAAAATTTGCATTTTTTGCAAAAATACAAAAACTTAAAATCGAAACCCCGCGAGTGCACCTTAATTTCACACCCCCTACGAGTTTTTTTTTCTTTTTTACCAAAATAAAAGGTGGTCTTTTATTGAGTACTCAACAGTGGGCACTCAACCACCCTGAACAACATCAGTCTATATTTACAAGGTTTAAATTTTTAATTAAACGATTCACACCGTCACTTACGAAAGAAGGTGTGCACCTTAATTTCACACCCCCTACGAACGGATTCCTCATTCGTTCAAAACTGCATTTTGTGGCCAAACTTATAAACAACATATTGAAGTGCCATAGGTCTAGAAGTTGAGTGTCTCCACTCCCAGTCGTTTTTAGAGTCCCCGTCGAACAAGCGATAAACAACTCGTTTTATTTTTTCACTTCCTTTTTTCAAACTTTTTTACGAAAATTGAAGCAAAACATGAAATATGGTAAAGAAAATGGTAATAAGACGAGTGTTTTGAATTAAAACGTTTGCAGCGGTAAAAAGACTTTGCATATGTCCATCCGGGTTTTCAGTGTTTTTTGTTCTGAATTGCTCAAAAACTCAACTTTTTGAGGCAAAACTGATTTTGTGTTGCATTTATTAATATAAAAAACATGTGAATGGTAATGCAGCGCTTTTATCCGCCGTGCAGGTGAAAGTTAAAAAGACGGGGAGGCTTTATCATGCTAGCCTGGAGTGCGCCAGCCATAACTTTTTGGTGATAACAAACAATATACTGGTAATATATTGTGTGTTTTTGTTGAGAAGAGGTTAACGAATTAATTTTATGCCGTGAAAAAAGACCACATTTTTTTCTCTGTTTTTTGGTAAATCTTGGCGTTATGGGAGAGTTTGTGTGTTAAAGTTACTTCGCTTTGGTAAAAAAATGGATGCATCGGTTTTAAGTTTTTGTATTTTTTCATGTTTTTTACTTGAAGCAAAACAAAAACAAGGTTAAAACAATTAATTAAATTGCTTGTGACTGGTAATGCAGCGCTTTTATCCGCCGGGAAGATAAATCTGCCAAAACTGCATTTTGATTATTTGGAGAGGAAAAAAGAAAGAAAAACGGTGAAAAACACATTGATAACAACTTTGTACGTCTTCTTTAGTTGTAGTTGCTCAAGCAAAACTCAACGGAAAAAACATCTTGAAACAGTTTCAACATGAAATCCTTTAAATTGGCGTGTATTGCTAAGTTCAATAAAAACGATCAAAAAGAAATTAAAGGTGTTGGATAGTACTTTACGTGCATTTAATTAGTAATTTCATGGTTTTATTTCCTTTTTTGTGTGGGAAAGATACTATAAAATATAATTATTTATAATAAAAATTTTAATTGCTTTTGCTATTGTTTAAAAAATAACTGAGAGGTTTTCATAGTCGCAATTTCGATGATACACACCATTATTTTATAAAAAATGTTTATTTTCATAAAGACTCGTTGTTAGAGCTGTTTGGCAACTTTTGAAAATACCTATAAAGTTTAAAATTCTTAGTTTAACCATGAGTTGCCAAAGTCATCATGCTCAACAGCTGTTATGGTTTTAGTTGTTAGCTCAAAGTATTCAAAAACAGCTTATATTGATTTAATTTTTATGATTGTAATAATTTTAAAAATGCTCAATAACATAAAAAATGTTAAATTTAATAGTATAACAAATTAATAATTTAAAACAAAAAAATATTTGGGAAGTTTATACAATTAATAAATTTAGATAAATTCAGTTTATATTATACTAATATATTTATTATAGTATAATTCATACTTTTAATAGTTTTAAACAAAATAGTATTTTTATACTAATATATTAAATTAATAACACAAAGATGTTGATAAAACTATTTATGTGGTTATTTATAATATTTAAATTCAAAACTAATCATTATTAATTAATAATAATAATTATAGTATAAATTATAATAATAATTAAATAAATTATAATTCGAATGTTTATAATTTCATCTAACAATGACTATTTTTGAAAACATATCAGAATAATAAACATAAATAAATATTTAATGAGTTATGAAAAATATATGAAACAAAATTAATAATTTTTAATAAAAGAATATATAAAAATAAAATAAGAATATGAAATTTGTTCATAAACACGATAAATGATTAGTTTTCACTTTATTATGACTTCATTTATCAAAGTAAATAATATAGTTTTATATTAAATAAAAATTATATATTTGACCAAATCAGAAATAACAATTTGTTTAGTAATTATATTTGACAAATTAACATTAATTATTTATAGTTTTTTCATTAATTATAAAAGACAAACTCAATAACAGTATAATCAAATCATTGTATCTTTGTCGACAAAGTAACTCGTCTGTTTAATTATAAATAAGAGTGAAAGACGTTTACACGAAAAAGTTCGCTTTAATGGACACTGAATTATTGAAAGAGGTTGAAAAAGTTTAAAACAAACAAAACCGTTATTATAATGTCATGGAATTGCAATGAGAGGGCGTGTTTGTAGTGGGATTATAACACGATAATATTGAGACAACGACGTTCCTTGTGGTCGTTAGAATGGCTAAACGAAAAGAAACGCACACCCGAAGACAAACCCGAACGTCTTTATTTGAACTAAAATGTGAATTGAAACTATATATTATTGTTTATTTTATTATAAAATATACAATATGTTTATAAATAGTTTTTTAATTAATGGCATTTCAATTTGTTGATTATTCCCGTTATTTTACGTCTAAACAAGCTTATATTACGTTTAATAAACCTAATATAAATAGACACTTTGACATTCCCTCAATAATTATGATATTTTGGTTAGGCAAAATAAAAGAGTTGGTATTTTTTTTCTTTTTATATTAATTCGAATAACAAAAAACAAAAAATATAATAACATTTTTCCAAAACGTACCATTTTTTGACTACATCGTTTTTATTCTTGCAGCGCTTTTATTCCACCCCTTTAAACAAAATTCAAGTGGTCTAAATATCGGGAAATCTGGAATTTATTAAATATATTTCCGTTTTTTAGAGTTTGTATTATTTGAATAAACAATACACAAACCAAAAAAAGAAAATCATCAAAAACTGGATTAATATCCCTAAAAACAGGCCAAAACAAAAATTTGGGTGTTATTTTAAGTGTTAATTAATTATCAATTAATTAATAATAAATAATAAATAATTATTAATTATTTATAACAATTATTTATAGTAATTTAATAACTTGAAGAGTCAAAAAAGATAGAATTCATAAAAATTCAGAAAGCACTAAAGGCCTAAGAAGCCACAGTTTATTCTTCCAAACTCCCTGGGTTCAACTCCCGGTTAGTGCCATTTTTTGTTTTTTTATTTTTTTTTGTTTTTTTTATAATAATTATTAATTATTAATTATTAATTTAATTATTAATTATAGTAATTTAATAGTAATTTAACTCGCCAACAACTGAATACTGCTCTTTTTAACACGTTTCCTTGTTTCCCTGTTATTTTTTTTATGAGGCAGTGTTATTTTTTTCTTTTTTTGTCTTTTGGTCTTTTAAAAAAGACTGTCATGTCCGTTTTATTTTTTCTTAACATTTTTCTGCACAAGGATATTACTCAAACCAACTAACAAATAAGAACTCATTTAAATAAGATATTATATCGAAGATATAATTTTTATAAAATTTCGGGAAATCCACAATCGAAGTCCCAAAAAACCCGAAACCATTATTTCCAAGCCGATAAATATTTTCATAAAAAGTCACGAATGACCAGAGTAAAAAATATAATAAATTTATTGAAGTATTTGGAGTAGTAAATATACCTTGGTACCTCTTGACCGAATTTTCTTATTGACTACTATGAGGGCCCATCTAAAACATTTTCCATGTTTTCATCTTTTGGTTTTGAAGCAAAGTAGTAAACACCATTAAACACGATTTTATACAACTTCTTAAGTCACTTTTGTAGCATAAGTATCTGGTGTTTATATCTCTTGCCATTAATATACATACAAAAATATATGGAACTAAAAACAAATTTAAAATAAAAAACAAAAATAGAACATTATTGGTTGATACTAACAGTATGATAACTTTATTTTATTATTACAGTAGGGGGAGTGAGGGGCTTGAAGAAACTGAGGGGCTTGACCTATTGTTTTATTATCTTTTTTACTATATAGAGTTTTCCCGGTTCTATTTATAAAATAACAAAAACTATAAATAATTTATAAAAAATGTCAAAGAAAAAGATTCTTAGCTTATCCAAAATAAAATAAAACGTTTTTTGAAAAGAAAAAGTAAACAACCTTAGTGTTATGAAGAAAATAAATGGCTTATTTCTATTGTTTGAAATAACCAAGAATTAATTCACAAAGCTTCAATTATTTTGTTTCTATAACAGCACAAATACAACTTCTTTGTACATAGACAGGATTTCCTTTAGCCATAAAAGACAAGTTGTTCCTCACACAAGTCAACTCGTCTCGCCATTTGGCTTGTGTATTCGGTGTTGTTAAAATACAAGCTTACTGAATACTTTGACAATTGAAATCAATTGACGCCAATTTCGCAGTAACCGAAGACTTGAATTGATTTTTTGGATGAGACAACATAGTGATAGTGATGGCAGATCATGACAAGTTCTAAGAGAACAAGGAGAGCTGAGAGAGTATATTTGTTTCCATTGCTCGTCATACCAAAAATATGTTGGGAGCATTAGAGAGCAAAGCAACAAAAATATCATTATTGCATCGCATAAGCGTTCTGGTGTTGTTGGAGTCAATATTGGCAAGATTAAAAGAATGTTCGTTTCTATAGAAGAGGCTTCCAGATTGTTACTGGTAGCCAATGGTGTTTATATCAGAGAACACTTGGAATTGTTTGTTCTTCCGCCTATCCCAACATATTTGGTCAAATCCGAAGAGGAAAGTTTGCCTTGGAATATCCAAGAGTTGCCAACAACGAGAGCCATATCAAACATAAAGACTAACGCCTACCGATGACTTTATTGAGAACTAACAACTAACAAACACCCAAGTCGTTTTTAATACAATTTCAAGTTCCGACTTTATGCTAAGGATGAACCAATTCTTTAATGGTTTATAAACTATAATTTATAAGTCAAGGTTGTGTTTTTAAATAGAACATTAAAAATAGTTTTTATTTAAAAATAGTAAATAAACCATTAAAAGTATAGGTCAAGCCCCTCACTCCCCCTACTGTATCAAACTTTTTATATATAAAACTTATATTTATAAATATTAGTTAATAAAAACTATTTTAATTAAAAAAACTGAAAAAAATTTTGGAGTTTTTTGTTACTAATTATTAAACTATATAATAGTTTATTTAAATTAAAACATAACAATAAAAGTCTTGCATATAAAAAAATTTTACTCCAAACAAAATAACCATACAATATATCAAATAAATCTATTTATACATAATATTGTCAAATACATAAGGGAATTCTTTCATACAAAACAAAACAACTATATAAAAATATTTGATCAAAAATCATTTATTTTTATTCACTTTGTCTTCTTAGTCACGTTGCAAGAGGTTTCGTTCATTTTTCTTATCAATTTCCACAACTTGAGGCTTTTCGAATAATCTCGTGTAAAAGTACTCTGCCCCAAGAACAACTGCTTAACGAAGTAAGATGACTCTTGCAACTTGGGCGTTTACAAATATAACACATTTTTTTGGTTCTTTTCAGCTTTTGTAGACTTCCTTTTTTCCCTTTCCCTCTGCCTCCCCGCTTTTTATCTTTTACGATCTCTTGTTGATCATTTTCTATTTCCATCATTGTCTTCCTTTCACAACAACAAGTGAAACACAATTCATTTGCACATTCTTCATCCAAAACCATATTTTTTCTATAAATTTCATCGACTTGTTTCCACACATCCATTTTAAATTTTTGCAAATTGGAAATAATTGGAATAAGCTCAGGTTTGGATCTTTTCCCACAATTTTCCTTAATGTATTCCACACAAAGCTCTTTTGCTAAATTTCTCAAAAATTTTCCGTGGTCAAGTTTATCATCAAAACACCTGCTGATAACAAATGTATTTGTCATTGTCATTTCCAAAATGTTTTTGAACAGAGCAAATGTACACCGAAAAGATCTGAAAGGAATTGGGAATTCAGCACAAAAAAATTATAAATATCAACGGGAAACTTCATTTTATTGTAGACGTTATTGACATTTGTTTTTTCTTATTTTTTGACTCTTCCCAAATACCCACATTTTCAAGAAATGTTGTAGCGATGGAAACACTTTTGGTTTTATTTGGATTGAAAGTGTTCAATAATATTGGACCACATTCCCAAAATTTATTGAAAAGAGGATTTTCATCCTTTTCTTTTTTTGTGATTTCTTCAAGCTCATTAATTGCGTTTTCCCGTTTTTGCGTCTTCTTCTGTTTCTTTTTTATATTTTTTTGTTTTCATTTTAGTATTTTTTGTTTTCTTTTTTCCCCGATATTTTTAGCTTCCTCTGCCTCTTTTTTTCTTTTTTCAATATATTTAATTTTATTTCGTTGTCGGTGTTTTTTGGTCCCATCCAAGCGGCAATTCTTTTGTTTTTCTTACAGTCCCGATTACTTCAACATTTTCTTCCTTACATTTTTCAAATTTTTTAATTCGATAAATCTTGAATCCATTTGTATTTTTAGAGTGTCGGTTTTGTTGATTTTTTTAACGCCCTCAATCAACTTCTCTGCCAATTTTCTCCCGACGTGACCATCCCATTCAATACAACTCTTGTAATATTGGAACATGTTGACACAGACACCAGTTTTTGTATCTACTATCATAATGTATTCAAAACCTCGTCGAATTGGTTTCATTGGGTTAAAAATAACATCATGAGCACGCCCAAGAAATTTGCACATTCTTTCGTCTATACAAAGCAACTCTCCGGGATAACACATTTTGCAAATTTTTTTCGAAAATTTTTGTAATTTCAAAAATTCCAACTTGATGTTCTCCTTTTTTTAGAAGTTCCGCTCTTCGTTCTTTGTTGTCACAACGAAAGTATCTAAAAAGTTGGGCGAAACGTGTTTTATGAAAACAAGTTTTTACAAAATCTACTCCAATTTCTTCGTCAAAAGTATCATCCAAAGAGTTTTGCCAACGAGTACTGGCCAAATAAATAAGCACCCCTATAAAAGCTAAAACTTCATTTTTATTGGTTGGGGAAAAAACTGAAAATCTTTTGGTATCTTCTCGGGATTTTTGGTTTATACCCTCAACAATTATCATCATCATATCCAATGAAAAAAAATGTTGAAACAAATTGGTTGGTGATTTTAAAACTGTTTCATCCAAAATCCATTTTAAATTTCGACATTCATTTTTAAACTTTTCAAAAATAAAAAAATCGTTTGTTATGTCTTTTTTGACCAATCCATTTCTAAACACGGATTTGGCTATTTTTGAGAAATCAAAAAGGATAAAAAACAAAACAAATTAAATAGTATAATTTATAAATTAAATAATCTATTCAAACTGTTTCTAGTGAAATTCGCGTTTGTGTATTTGGAATTGTCGTTGCAGAGTTATTTACGGATTGTGGATTTGGACAAAATGAATCTTGTGAAGTTAATAAACGTTGTGTCGAGGGAATTAATGACATTGATAATTCCCGTTCTTCAATTTGATCATTAATCTTTTCCTCGTTAATATGTCCAAGTGGTCTACATCGACTGTTAATTTCTGGAAAACTTCGTCTTCGTCGTCTGAAACCAATTCATCCTGATAATCGTCCAAAGTCTTATTTTTCTCACAATCCATTTTGTTTTTAAGTTTATTTTGCAAAACAAAGATTAATAATGACATGAATAACTATATTTAATTAAATAAAAGTAATTAATTGTTTTATAATTAAATAAATATAAAAAATTAATTCACTAATAGTATAATATTTTTGTGGCATTATTGTTTTTGTGGTGAAATAACTGTGCAGAAAAAAAACACAAAAAATAAAACCTGTTAATAGTTTTTTAATAATTTGTTCCAAAATTGTTTAAATAATTTTGATATATTATTAGGTGATTTTCCTGAAAAAATAGATAAAAATAAATAATATAAAATTATCATAATGGAATTATTTTTAATTTTTGTACCAAAAAATCGTTTTGTGCATTTATTTTTTTATATAAAAATTTAAAAGCAAAACAGAACAAAAATTACAACCTAAATAATAAAGAGTTGGTGGAAAAAGTCGGCTTTAACAAATTATAGTAAAATATAATATTTATTGAGGTTCACGATTTTACACCGACACTAGTGCACATTAATTTAATAAACTATTTTATATCAATAACATTTTTTTAAATCAAAATTGAATTTTTGTTTTCTAAATTATATAATTACAAAGTACATAACATCTGTTGAATAATTTATAGTTATATTTAATTATAATTAACAATAATAACTTTTATTTATATTATTTTTTAATTTATTATTAATAAATTAATAAACTTTTAATAGTTATTTATTGTTATTCACCAAAATTAACTCGTTCTGGACAACACTTAGAATAAAGTCCCAACTGGTTACAAATATAACACACTCTCTTTTTTTGGAGGTTTTTTTTAGATCCTTCTGAATATGTAACTAGGTTGGCTGCGCGTATTTGCTTCATTTTACTTACCTTTTTGGGATCCTTTATCCGTTCAATGGTTGTACTCTTAATCATAGATACAGTTTCATCCCCAATTGTTATCATAGATTTTTCTGTTCTAGAAAATGATATTCTTTTTACACCCTCTTCGATTTCTATTTTTTCTTCTTTTTTGTCTTCGAAAAAAACTTTCTCTCCTTCAAAAACTTTTATCACCAATGGAAGCAAACTGGGGTTCTCCTTTGCGTTGGGATAAAATTTCTCAAGAACCATTTGATAATCTGTATAGGAAATAGAACCATAATTCTCAGGATTGTATATTTTGCACTCATGAGTACATACTACTCGTACGGACTTGGTTCTGTTTAATTTGAACAAACAAAGTGGAATTTTTGTCAATGATACGATATAAGAATTCACAAGATGAGGACATGGAACACCAGTTTTACTATAAGAACAACATGTACACCCTTTTTGTCTGTTTTGTGTTCTTGTTGTTCCCATATTTTTAGTGTGTATTGATTGTTCGCCATTTTAAAACTATAAAGAAGATCAGAAACTGCTGTTTTAGTAAGACTTAAAGCGACATTATCTTCACAGAAAAGATTGAGTGTGTTTTTTCTTCGCTGTTGAGTTCCAAAAGACTGGCTTTAAGTTCCAAGTCTTGAGCACATTCAATAATACATTTAACAAGTTCGACTAATTTAAGTTTTTCATGCAATGTTCTTCGCTTAAGCCACCCAAAAAATCCTTCAATTCCACTTGACGTTGTTGACATTGTTTATTTATTTGTTGAGCTTGGTAGCCACGATTTTGCACATTTGAGAAGGTCAATTATCATTCTCGACTTGGTTAAAGTGACTCCTTTCTCTTTTGATTCGATAGCACATTGGTTGAGTGATTCGATTAATTGATCAGTATTAAGAATGCAATTTCCACCAAAAACATCTTCTTCATCTAAATATTTTTGAATTTGATTATTACAATCTTTAATTACTAATTTATTCAATTCATTTAATAACACTTCTTCTTTTTCACAACCTCCAAAAACGACTTTATTGTAAATTGTAATAATTGGGTGGCACTTGCCAAAAGCCGCAACAAGATTACGTCTTAAATGCACCGTAGAATACACTATAAAAACTGTGGGATATACTTCTTTTATGGCTACAGTTTGACTTTGACACCTATCACAAATAATCACTCTTGGATTTACACTTCGTTTTAGGATAGTTAATACCATTTTGAACGATTCGGAAGTTCTGTTTGGTGTTATCGAAAAAACACACAGTGACTATGACTACTTTTGTCTACAAGAATTCCTACAGATAAAGGCATTTCAAATTCATTTGTCCCACAAGTGTCATCCAAAATTAGTTCTTCAATGTTGCAATTTTTACATAAAAGTTCGTTTATCGCTACACAACCAACAAACACTCCACTTTTTGACTTTATCATAACATGCTCCAGTTTTCCAAAGTTTTTAAATACTCAGCCAAATCAATACTTTGTACTCTACCAGTTTTCTCTGCGCATTTTCTTACAATAGATCCAATTTTTACACTTGAAAACGGAAGATTTAAATCCTTTTTATTATTTTCTGGAGATACCCCAAGTTTATGTTTTGCTATCATTTCAACTCTTTCTTCATCTGTAAAAAATGGATAAATTTTACAAGGAAGAATATCAAAGTTATGAGTGTGTAGGTGTTTAAGTGTAATTTGAACGACTCTGTTCTTTTGTTTGGACAGTACTAAAACAAGTTTACATGGACAATGAGTAAATGTATATTTAAAATATTGGTTTGAACTATTTGAATGACTATTTGCAGTCAAAAAGAGATATTTTACTTCCTTTGATATTCATGATAGAAGAACTTTTCATTGTTGATGCTTGAGACGAGAAAGAATAATTTTGAAAAGATTGACATATATTATTGATTACATCATTCGGAGTTTCAAAATGGTAATCATCCACAATTTCTTCTTTATCATTTTCTCTTGAAATAATAATTGCTGTGCTTGACATCTTTGTTTGAAATTAAAAGTTTTTATAAAATAATTAATAGTATTACGATTAGTAAACAATAATTATCAGAAAGATCTACTATATATATTATATTAATAAAGGGTTTGTTATTTTGTGAATTTAATTCGATCTGGTTTTTAAGAATTAGAATAATTCGTAATCATGTTTTAAAAATTGGTAAAATTAAAAATTATCAATTTTGATTTTAAAAAAATGTTATTGATATAAAATAGTTTATTGAACTAATGTGCACTGCTGTCGGTGTAAAATCGTGAACCTTATTTATTGTTACAAGTTGAAAAAAACATTTTGTATCATTTCTAAAACATTAATTAAAAACAAAAAATAATTAAAAATATTTGTAAACTCGAACAATGGTTGATTTTTTGATACTTACGTTAATAAAATTGACGTTTCGGATACGTAATATAGTTTTGTTGTTGTGGTTGTATTAACCCATAAACAGTCAATTGCGACAACTTGATGTTTGTTTTTAAAATTGAAAATGATGATTTAGTAAGTTTAAAAGAAAGCAAATTTAAAAGTTATCAAATTAATCATTTGATTTATTATTTAATAAGTACAACACAATTCAACAATAAAAAAACTTAATTGTAGCATTTTGAAACAATTAATTTATAACAACAAATTTTGACTTTTAAATATATTAAAGAAAACCATAAAACGCAGCAAACGTTTAAAAATTTTTCACACATTCAATTTATTCATAAATTGAATCAATCTCTATGTGAAAGTGTCATTGTGTAAAATCAACAAAGATTGATTATGGTAGTAGCTAAAGTTTTAAATATTCGATTTCTGTATTTAATTTCAAAAAGGTGTTTCAATATCTAAATTGAATTTTTGTCCTGTTCGAAAGTTTTATAAATATTAATAAATATAAAAATACAAACAATGACTCATAAAAATGGTTATTCATAATAAAATATAGTTATTCTTATCGAGATAGACTATTGTATGCCAACTCAGAGAAAATTATTCATAAAATCTAAATACAATGATAAAAGCACACATAACCAATGTGAAACTTGCCATTTCTTGTTTGACAAAACAAATAAATTATAATAATCGTAATAAAAAACACAATTAATTATTTTCACTGAATGACGCATTGATAATAGCCGTAATTATTAACATTGAGTAACACGCTTCTGTGTTATAGTGAAAATGATAGAGTCGAAATAGTTGTAAAATATCATAACGATAAAATGAATTCATTTTACATCGCTTTTACAGACAGTGATGTTTCTGCAATTGATTATCAAGCAATTCAAATATAAAGAATAATAATAATAATAATTAAAAAATTTAATTGACAATAAAAAGATAAATTACTCATAATGTAAAAAACAACAAAAATTAAAAATATACACCAAATAAAACAATAAAATAGCATTGAAAACAAAGAAGTTTTATTTTTTGTTGTTTGAAAAATTATAAACATAGTTATGGTTTACCTTATTCATTTTAAACACTCTTTTCAATAGATTATTAAAAAAATGTAACTATATACATCAACTTGTCAAAAGTCATTAACAAACAATTGGTTAAACAGTCCACATATTTGACAAAAAGTCAGAAAACAATATAAAAAACATGTGGATTATATGTAATGGAGGGAAATTGTTATAAAAATAATAATAGATTTGACATTATAATTTGTTTTTAATGATTGTTATATTTTAATTTCTTTTGATAAACACTCTTCAAGAGATTACTCACAATATGGTAAATACCAAAAGATGATAAAAATATATTATAGACAGAAAAAACAGTCAAAAATCTTGCTACATCGTACTGTCTGAAAAAATACACAGTTAATAAAATGGGTTTTTTGAACAGTTTATATTTTTTATAAAGACTATTGTGTGTACATATATTTTGTGTGTTTTTTAATTATCACTGATGTGTTCATGTTACTTTTGCAATTTGTATTTCATTTCAACTCAAAACCAATATTTTTTTTGTTTAATGTATAAAAAACATATTTGTTTGTTTTGTAATAAATGTTATTGCATTTTACCATTATTTTTATTTTGCCATTTTTTACTTTTTTGTCATGAAATTTTATATTTTTTTTCATTTTTTTTCACAATTTATTTGTTTATTAGTTCACGATTTGAACTCGTTATTACATTTTCATTTTACTATAATTGAACTACACTGTATAATATAATTTTTTCAACAAAACAAAAACACTGCTCTTTTTAAAAGTATTGGTTTGTTGGGGATTAGGTAAGTCGGCGAGTTAATAGTAATTTAATAGTAATTTAATAGTAATTTAATAGTAATTTAATAGTATAAAATTAATTATAAAAAAAAATAATATAGTATAGTGTATAGTTAATATTAAAAATATTCTATTGTTTAATAGTAAAGAGAAGTTATAAAAAACATGAGTTATTCTTCAAAAATAGATGGGCTGTCTGAGATCACCGATTGCTCAGGCTCTTCTTTAATGAAGTCGTCAAGTAAGTGAATGATCTCTGAGAAATCCGGTCGTAGATTTGGATCTTGTTCCCAACATCTTTGCATCAACTCACAATAAGTGATGTGGTTGTTGGGTGGGATGTCAGGTCTGAGCCCTATCTCGCCGACTTTCTCTATCAAGTGGAATCGAGGAATGTCCGGATATGGCTCCTTACGTGCAAGAAACTCCCACATAACTATCGCAAAACTGTAGACATCACTTTTGGTTGTCTGTCCTTTTCGCATCAAAATTTCAGGCGCCATCCAAGCTAAGGTGCCACATATCTCGTCGGGCATGGACGCTTCAACCGTTGTTTTACTCAAGCCAAAGTCACTCACTTTGACCTTCCAATTCTCATCAACCAACAAATTGTGGGACTTTAAGTCTCTATGAATGATGGGCGGTGTCGAAGAGTGAAGATAAAACATCCCACTCGCAGCATCCTTTAACATCCGAAGCCGTCTATCCCAACTCATTGTTAAGTGTGAGTTGATTAATAGCGTGTGTGCAGACCCTCTGCTCATCAATTCCATTGCAATCAATATATAATTGGCATCAGTGCCACTTCCGAAGAATTGTAAGACACATGGGTGTCTCAATTTTTTCATTAATTGCACTTCTTTTGTAAACTGTAACACATTGTCCTGTAACATATCCTTCGTCGGGATTAATTTGACTGCAATTTCTTGCCCTCTCCATAACGCAGAATACACATTCCCATAACTTCCAGAACCTAACAAATCGCCAAGAACAACATCTTCTGCACTGATATACTCTTCATCATCAGTCTTGTTCTTCAATTTGTTATAAATCAAAAACCCAATGACAACAACGATTAACACTATACCAAAGATAATAAATACGACAATAACGATAAAACCTTTGTCATTTGATACATCACCCGGTTGTTTTACAGTGTAATCAACTTCATCAGTATAATCTAACCCATTTATAGTTACAGAAAAACTATACACGTTACCTACTTCCTGTTCTAAATCAAACCCTTCGAGTCGACATAACACACTGGCGTCATACACACTCCCGCGATATTTTTTCGTTTCATTTGAAGACTCGCTGCGCATCAAACAAAATGAAGTTTCTGAGGAAACGACACCTTCAACTACAACTACAGCATAACACTCTCCGGCGTTGATAGTTAAGTCGATATCTTTGATTATCAAATTGTAAAAAGTAAAACTTGCGTTGTTTGGATTCAAATATGTCCTCTCAACATCAAAGTCTGCAAAACTCACATTCAACACAACAGAACCATTCGACCCACTCGGTGAGATACAACGACCAAATCCAAATTCAAGATCATTACGATTTGCTATCTCTTTGTTTGTCATTTCCAACACATCCATATCATCATAATCATAGCCCGTATTAATCGGTCCGAACGTTAACTTGGTGAGATTTACACAGTCTGTTCCAAAACAACACATATACTCGTATTCGGGATATAAAAATGCTGCAGATAAATTAACGACCGTTCCTCCATGAGTCGGTCCAAGTGGGGGATTGATTTTCTTGATGACAGGGTTTAGTATGTCATATGACACATTGACTTCAATTCGCGAAACACAGAATATGTTCGAGTACGACACTATCCTGAGTTCGTTTGTTCCATTCAAAATACTTCCAAAGTTACTTAGCGAGTTGAGTAAAATCATTTTTGTCTGTGTACATGCGACTTCTTCATCATTCCAAATGTCGAGTGACATTACAAATGGTTTTGGACTGTTATTAACATACAACGCAAATTTGGGAGGAGGACTGTACAAGTCGAATATGGTCGATACGTTCAATTTGATAACTTGGTTGTTAATAAAAGCTCGTGGCGGGAGATAAAATTCGAAAACTAAGTCTTTGAACATCGCGGAGTCTTCTTTGTTGGAACATTCCATTGTGTCAGAGCAGAAGCATTGATTGTTGATCTTCTTACATTTCTCGATGTCGCACTCTTTTGTTGCTGTTGTTGACGAGAAGTTGAACACAGTTGAAAACGAATACGAGCACGTCAATAGCAAAAAAAGCAACACTTCCGTTTTGACCATCACTCGTTTTTGAGTTCATTTGTATTGGTAACTAACTAGTATTATTCATTTTAGTTTATTTCTAATAATTAATAGTTATTGAAAAGTCCTCTTTGTAAGAAATGTAAGTCCCAAATAATCGAAGAATTTTTTTATTTGGTTGTTTTTGCTTATTTTTATTGTATTTTAAAGGGATAATTACTTTATAGTTTTTTATATTAAAAATCAATCTCAATTATTTATAACCAAAAATAATAATTAAATAATTATAATGATGTTAGTATATATATTATAATTATATATATAGAAATAGAAAAAACAATAGTTTTGAGTAATAATATGAAATTTGTCGCATCTAATTTGAATTTGAAATTAATGGCTTAGAGTTGGAATAGATTAAAACTATGTTATTAAAAACACAATTCTACAAACAAATAACAAATTAATTTTTGATCACGAGAACACTTTTGACTGTAAACGTTTGAGGAAAATTCAAATTTTTTGTGTAATGTTCATTGAAATGTTCGTGGAACCAACTAGTTTTCAAATCCGAGTCTGCAACACCCATCATCCACGAGACGCAAAACAAATTGCTCCCTTCTAAAAAGAGTTCTATCGAGTTTCTCCACCCGTCAACACTTCGATTTTTCTTCATCTTTCTGACTTCACCTTCTTTACATACAAAAACTTCCATATCTTCGTCAATACCAAACTGGCCAATTTTAGTCACTGGTGATCTCAAAACAACACCAAGAACTCCATCATCTGTAGTTACCAACAAAGTGATATCGGGGCGATTCAACACAACACTATTGAATTCTTCATGAGAAAATCCGGAGATATCGCTGTTGTATATGACATTTGACTCTCGTTGTGTTTTAAACAAACTCATCACATCAAAACTCTTTTTGGTTTCATCACAATGAATGATCACTTGTGGGGGAGGTGTAGGACTAAACAAATGTGCTGCGTCTACTTGTCCAAGAACTCTTTTGATTTTATCCTCAGCCGCAGAGAGTTGTTTCAAAAATTCAGTCTTCATAAGGAAAAGGTCTTTCATCAGACTTTCAAGTGTGTTGTTAAGTACCTGCTTTTGCATTCTTATCTGCTTTCTTAGTATCTCAAAAGATAATTGTTAATATATTTTTGGTGCTTTGAGATTAACTTTTACTTGAAAGATTTAAATGGCTCTTTTCGAGCAAATCTGAGGGATGTGTCTTTGATTTCTGTTCTTAATTGGATGGTTTCTTAACAATTTCTTCTTCTAAAAAAATTAAACTATTCTCATTGATTTGGGTTGGTATATTTATTATATAATTTATAATATAATTATTGTATTTGGTAATAAAAATAATTGTGGTGCGTTTTTGGGGAATGAAAAATTGAATGATTCAATGGCTTTTTATTTTTATAGTTTATAAACTAACAAATGGTTTTTAATCTTTTAAATTTTCATTATTAATAAATTTTAGAAAAATGAAATTTGAAAAATTTTGATGAACTGGTATTGATTTTTGTTATTTTGTAATAAATTGGGCAGTTGTTTTAAACATGATATGATTTTAGAATCTTTATTAATTTTTAATTTGTTATTATTTTAACAAAAAAGGTAACAAATTTATTTGTTTAAAACAAAAAAATCCAAATTTAAGAAAAAACAATTTGTATCAAATATATATAATCACAAACATAACTTTTTTATAAAATATTAATTTTATAATGACAAAGTAATTAATTTGAATTATGTTATAAAATTACTAATGTTATTGTATGTTAAATTTATTTAACATACAATAACATTAGTTATTGTATATCAAATTTGTGTTGAAAAATGATATCAAAGAATCAAATGAGTCGATATAGTAAATACAATTCAAATGTTTTTTAAACATTTTTTAAATAAAAATACAATATGTAACAGATATAATTATTAAAACACAAATATGAAATAAAAGTTACATTGTTTTAAGTTGAGAATAAAAAGTTTATAAAATTCACTATCAGTTAAGATGAAATTATATATGTTTTTCAATTTGTATGTTTTATTATAGACAGTATTTTCATTTTCTCAATAAAAGATTTATTTTAAGTATTACCACATAAAATAACACCCTTTTAAATTAATCTGTTTTTACTGGGTTATTAATTCAATTTCAGATGATTTTCACCTTTTGGCTTCTGTATTGTTTATGAACAAAATATAAACTTTAAAAAATTGAATTTTAAATAAACTCGAGATTTCCCGATTTTTAGACCACTTGAATGATGTTTATTGTTATTTATTGTGTTGAAGTGATTGATAATAAACATTTTGAAACAATAATTTTGTTACATAATACATATAAATATAAATTAAATTTTGTCAATATAAAAACGATCAAACAAATAAAAAGTTTGATCGTTTTTATATTGATAATATTGTTATTATTTGTGGAATGACAATAAACACACTTACGAAAAGTTATCATTTTAAAGTTCAAAAACAAGAATACAAAAGTTTTGTGAACTAACATAATTATATTTTATATAAAAATGAAGATTATTGATTATAATCATCGACAACTTCGAACAATAAAGTGCAACGACTAAACCAATTGTATTTTATTCTTACAAAATAGAATAAATTTGATCATTATTATTTAAACCAAGTACTTTTTCATTTTTTAAATCATTTAAAATAAATTTCGAATTAATTTTATATTAAACAACTAAATTATATACAATTAAAATTAAAACCTTTTTATAAAACCATAACTAATTATAAATGAACATTTAAACACCAATAAATTTGGTATTCCAAATTATTAACACTTGTTGAAACAATTGAAATATCAAACCAAAAAATTTTCATAAAAACAGATCTTACTTTTAATAAACAAATTAAGCTCAGATACGATTTTTACACACAAGAATAAAGTAACAATTCAGTTAAAAAGTAAAATACCTGTAATAATTCAGAACATAAACTTTAAAGATGGGAGTGACACATACAACACTCATGTATGCAACACAAAGCAGTAAAAATATTAATTTAGACAGGTCAAATTTAATATATCCAAAAACAGGTTCTGTGTTGTTTAAACAAATACAAAATATTCTTTCTTTTGATGGCGACACTAAAAGCTTGGATATTAAATACAATACAGTTGAAAAGTCATCATTTAAAAGACAACTGCGGCAAAAACAAAATCCAAACATAAAAAGTTTTTATGAACCGACTTTATATTTTGATTATCAGTCAGAACGTAAACAATTTGATAATTGTAAATTTGTTGTATCTAAGTCACAAAAAGAGTTGTATCAAATAAAACAGTGTTTGTCCATAAAAACACTATTTGATAGTGAGCTGTCTTTTTTAGACTCAAGAGAAATAAGGTCAGCAGTGTGTTACAAAGAGAATTTGATCTTTTTGATTATAACAGATACTTGCACATTTGGAGTGTTTCAAGACACTTTAATACCAAACGGAAATAGCAACGAAACTGTTGTTGTTGCATCACAAAAATCCTTTATATTTTCAAAATCAAATAATCAAGAACGATACACCGTTTTTGAAAGAATCCAAAATGATTGTGACAACAATATTACTGTATTCGGACAAGACAACAAAAATATATTTGCTTGTTGTTCAGCTTTTTGGCTTGACAGAATTTGCAATGTGACTATACATCCATACATCCAGAAGTTTTTCAAGTTCAAAAAACATTACATTAATCCTCTTGTTTCTGGGGAACAACTTAGCAAGAAAATTGTTTGCAAACGACTACTAGTATTACAATGTATCAAATAATGTTTTCTTATCAAATAGATACTTTGAAAACTTTCAATTGGTTTCAAAAAAAGAATATATTATTTAATATTTTTTACTTAAGACTTATAATTGTTAAGTGCTTTTGTTCAACAAGAACATATTAAATTGATAATATTTCAAACATTTTTGAATAATTCCAATGAAACATAAAATTTCTAATAATTTTTTACAATGTTAAAAACAATAATTTATATGTTCGCTTCAAGTTTTTTATTATAAAGTGACTTCCCAAGGTGTGCAAGTTAAGGTATAGTTCATTTATAATTTTTTTATTAAAAAAATAGAATCATTAATTTTTTGAAATTTTGAAAAAAAAAGATTATTTTTAGTTTAATTATTAATTATAATTTCGAAGTTATTACTAAATTATACTTTAACTTGCACACCTTGTGACGTTGCAATTTTTAACTTTCACACTTCGAATACAATTAATTAAGCAACAATTTCGGGAAAGCGACCCAATGGAAATTATCGAAGGACCAGTTCTGGACAACAGTGCACATCGATTTGTAACAATGAACTGCACCCTATTAAACAGACTATTTGTTATCGTTTGCTATAAAATGGCACAGAGAAAAACATAATGTTTATCATACTTCTTCTTGTCGCTTTGAATTACGCTAACACAAGAGACATCGACAATTATTCACGTTCTTGAAACAAAACAGTTTTTACATTAAACACATAGACAAACCATTACCCAATTTTTATAATTAAATTTGCTTTTTGTAGTTTATTAATTCAAGCACCAAAGGGTTGTGTGTTTTGTGAAACAATTTTGAAACGAATAACATTTTTAATAAAATGTTTTTCAACTGAAATTTAGTCTTGCACGCCCTTTCCCTGTAAAAAAGACTAAAAATTTTAACTTGCACACCTTGGGGAAGTCACTTTATATAAAATTGTACTTTATAATAACAAAAATTATAATATTTGAATTATTCTATGTTAATAATGTTACATATGCAATTCAATAACTCTTTAATATCAATTAAAACATTGTCTGAAAATTTTATAAACTTGATTCTTGACATTCAAAAACAAGTTATTATTTCATTATATTCGGTTTTTTATATAAAGTTAATTAACGCTAATTTACTTGGAACTTAATTCAAACATTCAGATAATTATTTGTAATTTATTAACAAATCAACTATTGAAATATTAATTTAAAATGCTCAAAAAAACACTTTATTTGATGTGATGAAGTGTATTATACTTAATAGTTAAAAATATGAATGAGAATAATTACACAATTTTAACACAAAAAATGTGTTTGAATGGTGGATAATTGAAACATTTTGAGTTGAACTTCAATAAAAAGACGAAAAAAAAGTAAAACTATAATTATAATTTTTTTATTGGATAGAAAATGTTTTATTGTTTGTAAACATTTATATTATATTTAAATTATATTGAATAATTATGTATAATACATGGAAATTAACGAACGTTAATTATATAAAGTTTCACAAACCATTTTTTGCCTAAATAACATTGTTTTATTTTCAATAATATTAATTCGTTTTTTATATTATTCTATTTTACTGTTTATTACAATAAAACGATTAAAAACAATACTTTTTTATATACTATTAAAACAATCTAAAAATTACTTATTATTGTAACTGATTTTAATATCATGTTATTCGGCAATTTTATCTTTTGTTACCACCAAGAACATTTTTACAACTTAAATCAAAAGATTGGAGTTAAATGGTGGCATAAAACATGTTATGGTAATCAATAATTATATAATTATTATGAATGCTATAGATTGTTATTCACCATTTGAAAATACAAAGAAAATAATAGTTATTTTGTAACTTGTTTTCTTTTTGTATCCTTTTCTTATACATATAATTAATAAAACTATAATTTAACTACATTTTTTCGTTTTAATAAATCTATTTTTAACAGTCATTTTTTTATTCGGAATCTCTGCAATATGTCGAATTTTTTCCCATATAAAAACAATCCGAATTGCTAAAAACAAAAATCTAATAGAAAAACTTTAACATTTTATACATTGTATAATCTATAATAAATAAAGCGTGACGTGGTTACCACTTCTTTTTCTTTTTGAATTAAAAATAAAAAACCCAAAATCGCATCTCCACAAATAGTTCAAAGACCCCCAAATATGTCATTCAACACAACAAACAAAAATAAATCACTTTTACTTTATTTCCCGATATCACTTTAATAAAACAAGTCACATTTTTCGTTTGTAAAATAAGTTTAACCCCACATTTTTAAAAAAGCAATTTTTGAAATACGCAAGTTTTATTAAAACAACTTTTGAAATGAATTCGGATTTTTGTTTCTATCAAAAATCCTTAGTTTTTAATTAATTTCTTTATTTTATAAAAAAACTAGTGATCAGTATGAACTTGAATTGAATTATAAAAAATGATGATATTCGTGTTGATCACCACACTTTTATTTTTGGCAGCGGCACAAGACACGGTGACAGAGTCGAGCAGTAGCTCCGAAGAACCCATTCCATGTTCTGTTGGGTGTACATCTTTGTGTTTCACTAATTACACGTGCTCGACTTGTGCTTCTGGTTATGACCAAGACCACACTTGTCTCTATTGTAATAACTACGACTTGTTAGAAGATGCAACTCAGGTATCAGTCATGACTGGCACAGGGTGTCAGTCTCGTGTGCGAATTAACGACAACGGCGATATACCTGAAGTTGTTGAAGAGATTTTGAAAGAAGACATATACAATTACACATTTGGTGCTGACAAACCATATAGAAAGCCGCCATGCAGTCCTGGTGATTATGTCCAAGGGTTTTGGCTCAAATTTGATTTGTCGACTCTGGAAAATGACACGTTATATATTGACTTTGGTGTCGACTCTGAGGTCGAAGACTACGACATAACCATCGACATTGTTTCGAAACACAACAATCACAAAAAGTGTGTTGGGACGTCGAAAATTAAGTCGAGTAAGTTTCTTCATTTTGAAATGCCCAAAGATATGTTCATGAGCGACGACTCCATGTTTTACTTCTTCTTTGGAATAGCTCAAGAAAGTACCACAACTGTGTCTCTCAATTTTACAGACAAACCAACAGAGTATGTGACGTATTATTTGGGGGTTGAAAACATCGTCTTTCTCAGTGAGGTCAAAAGAACAGCCACTGCTAAAATACCAATGTCATCTGAAGGTGTCTTTGGATATCCGGCATGCATGCCACACATATTTGGAAAGATGATTGACTTCTTCATCGAGTTCAACATGTCTGCTGTTATGTTAATGTCTACGAAGACGGAGAATAGAATAAGGTATATTGAAGAGTATGTTCTTGAGAATGACACCAAACACTGTGTACACTTTTACTCACCTACAACAGTCAATGGAAAGACTGCAGTGTTCATTTTATTGGAACAAAGATATGAAACAAGAAACTTCACGATTATATCACAAGAACACATCCACGACATCCCATTGTCATTTAGATATATTTGCCCTAACAATTGCTTCACTAACGAGTCACATGGATACTGCTCTATTTCTCAGGAAGCGTGTGTATGTAATGATGGGTATGGCGGTGATGATTGCCACTTGTTGTGTTATTACCAGAATCAATGGCAACCCTCTGATAACAATGGAAATGATCAATGTTATTATGGAACTGGAAATTGTGACTCGTATTGTCAATGTGCAGAGAATTATACATTAATAGGCCATGACTGCATCTCACAAAATTGCTCAAGTGGGACATATGGAGAAGATATACAATGTCTGTACGGCAGCACTTTTTGTCAAAGGAATTGTACGTGTCAAAATGGGTATATCCCATCAAATGTCACGCATACATGTGTGTTAGCATCTTGTGGAAATGGGATAAGAGATGACACGGAAGACTGTGATGGTGGAGAATATTGTGACGATAAGTGCCACTGCATTTCAGACAAATACGAACCGTCCCCGAATGTTCCACAGTCATGTCAGCCTAAAATTAGTTCAACGACAATAGGACTTATCTCTGGGTTTTCAGTACTTTTGTTACTGATTGTAGTTGTCATCATTCTAGTATTAATTATTGTAAAGGTGTCGAATTCGTATGTGAATATCAATAATGAGATTTACAAGACACAACAAGATCTCTATTACATGTACATATCTGGCTCAAAGAAATTCTATCCCGAGCAGAACACAAATCAATTCGATGTTTTCCCATTGGAACTCGATTTTGGGAATAGAGACACCTTAACTAATATCTATGAAACCCGCTTTGAAAATGTAATGCTTTCAAATTACTCGAACAAAATTATGATGGTTATATTCCACACACCAAATAACCCAAAATACATCTTCCACTTTGACCCTCAAATTGTCTTTGTTTCTCCAAAGACTCGTTTGTTCTTATTTTATTGTATTGTATTGTATTTTAGAGATCTCTTTCTTACAATTAGGAAAAGTAATTTCTGTCTTCATGACACTGCACTGCACAACAAAAATCAAGGACGTGTGTATCCCATTTACGGTATGGTTCAGTAAGCAAAGAAAGACGTTAACTGCAATTGAGGAATTGTTGGTTGGTAAAACGTTTGATGATTGGGACCAAGATAGTCAATACCGAATGAATGTGCTATTAAAAGGTGTCACGTCCCATTCACACGGCAATTTTGTGATTATGACGGATGCGGCCAGTTCGACGTATTTAGATATGGACGAGTTGAATATGTCAGATGTCCCAATAGCAGAAGGCGCGATGGGTAAAGTCTTTATTGGTAATTACCGAAGTGTCCCTGTCGCTGTCAAACAGTTCAGATGGGAGAATTTGGATGAGGAGGAAATGAACGATTTAAAAAAGAATGTGATTCAAGAGTGTGAGATTATGAGCAAATTGCGTAATCCGTTTATAGCGAATTATATGGGGTCCGTCACTTATATTCCACAAGTGTCTTTAGTCCTTCAGTTCTTCGTTTTAGGCGCATTGGGAGAATATTTGAGGCAAGAGAAAACGTATTACTTGAAGCTTCCCTACAAATTGAAAGTGCGAATGTTGTTTGATATTTCTCGTGGAATGCAATTCCTTCACGAGAATAGAATTCTTCATTTGGACTTGAAGCCAGACAATTTACTTGTGAATTCGTTATACACAGACTCGGCGTGTTGTATCAAAATCACTGATTTTGGAACCTCGCGATTTACTAAAACCACACAAACAAATGAAAAGGGGTTGGGAACTCCAGTGTATGTAGCTCCCGAAGGTTATAATGACGTTTACACTTATGCGGGAGATGTTTATTCCTTTGGCATAACTGCTTGGGAACTCTTTTATCAAGAGGAGCCATTCAAAGAATTCAAGTCACTTTTCGACTTAAAGAAAAGTGTTTTAGAAGGAAAGCGTCCAAAAATTGATGATCGTATGCCGCTTAAGTATCGAGCACTTGTGGAAGATTGTTGGAAACAAGGTTTTGAGGAGCGTCCCTCATTCTCAGACGTATGTGACAGAATTGTGAAAATTGGAGCAGAAGAAGTCAACGTTTTCAAAGTGGATATCGGTGTTGACGTCAACAAAGTCGAAGATATCATCGAATTAAAGAACGAACGGTTCAACCAAATTGTGAAAGACTTGTAAAATTGATTCTCTCTCAAAATAGATCATCTAATTACTATTTGTATAAATAATTTTATTATTTGTATAGTTTTAATACAAATTAATAAAATATATTATATACAGTCAAAGGTGTCTATTTGTCATAAATCCAGCAGAAAAAAATATCTATTTGTCGTAAATGAGTGAATTTTGTAGAAAATTCTTTTTAATATTGAAATTTATTTTTTATAAAAAATTTGGTTTTTAATTCAACAAAAGTTACAGATTCGAGAACAAAATATTTAATTGTCGTACACCAAAATGATTGGCCAGTTGTGCGACAATTAAGCAACTTCGACAATTATAATTACTACAAATAGACGCCTTTGACTGTATAATGATTAAATAGGAATTATACCACATAAACTATAGAATAATAAGAATTAAATTATAATAAAACTGAACTATTGTTGTAATTGGATCAACGCTGCGAAGCTCTGTTCTGGTGGTATATTGAGGATTTGCTCGTACTTTTTAATGAGCTCGAAATTCGACGCGATTTGGATGGTGTTGGCTTCCCGCTCTTGTTGAAACAACGATATGTTGTTTTCGAGTCGGGCGTTATCTCTTTGGAACTCTGTGTAATTCACTTGGAGTTGGTCGAAAAGTTCTTTGTATGTTGACATTACTTTTATGAGTTCAATGATTTCTACAAGTTTAATGATGCTTAAAATCATTTCGTTTAATGATTTAATAAATAATTAATAAAATACCAGATAATTTTATTGTTAGATAAGTAGTAACAAAATATTATTATTTTATAATTTGAATAGTATTCAAATTTTGGTTTCTATAAATGGTAAATTAATAGTTTTAAATTATAATGAATAGAACCCTATAGGTATAAAAAGGAACTCAAGCTGTTAATAATAAAGCAAGTTATACTCAACCAAAATCCATGTTTTGATTGTTAATAGGCTTGCGAGAGATTACTGTCTCCAATAGTGTAACGCTTATGTGTTTTACTTTATCGGTCAGTTAAATTATCTTCATACATAGAATAAACAACTATAATGTCTTAATTAATTTAATATCCAATAATAAAATCCATTTGAATTCATTTTTCATACCATTAACATTGAATAACACAAAAGTATTTGATTGTAAAGGTGTCTGGAAACTCACCAACACCAAATAATTCATTGTCAGACATCCCCTTGTAAAGTCTTGACAAACATGACACTCGCGAATTATTTAACCCGGGTTTGGATAACACAAAGTACCCATCGTTGTTTCCTAATGCAAACATTATGTCACACCTTTTGATATAAGATATCTTCACTTTAACGTCATCCTTCAAAGACCAGACCTTATCCAACCGTTGGGAATAAATGATATGACTTTTTCCAACAGTCGTCGTGTGGTTGTCGCGAATTAAATCCCCAAAGTAAATGATCACACAATCACTCTCCGTCTCGATAACAAAGAAGAAATTTTCACATTGTTCTACAACTTCTAACGAAAAATCTGTTGCGTCACTGTCGGTGAGAATTGTGAATTTATCTTTGAATAGTATTTTCTGTGCTTTTTCAATCACTCCAGTGGTGTCGGGTTTGTATTCTGGTGTGGGTGATCGAGGTGTTGTGTTCATAACTTATTAATTAGATATAAAACTATATAATTAATTAATTTAATCTATATAATAATATAATAATAAAATATATAATAATATAATATATAATAATATAATATATTAATTTTATACATAAAATGAATTAAATTGTATTCAATAAAACTTTAACATTGATTTGTTATTAAGAAAGTCCAATATATATTTTGTGATTAAAAAAGGAGATCAAAACATTCTTTATTTTTTTGTAATTTTATTTGTAAATTTTCGGGATTATAAGACAGTTTGTGGAAAGTTAAATTTTTGGCAATTCACCCTTCTTAAAACTCACAAATATTATTAAGTTCCAACTATTTAAAAACTGTTTTTATTGGTTGTTAAATATAGTTTCTTCTAGTTTATTTAGAAATAATACTTTTAAGAAGTGTTCAAAAACAACAAATATGCCATCATCCATTTTTTGTATCAAACATATAATTAATTTTATAATAAAATTCTAATACAGATTGATCAAAAACAATGAAATTGATTTATTTATTAAAAAAGAAAAGTGAATAAATAGTATATTTTGAGTTCTAGATTCCCCAAAATAGAGAAGGAATTCAATTAATTCATTTAATATTAATCAAAAGAGTCTTCTATTTTTCAAAAATGGAATTGTAAGTTTAAAATGCC